GAGAAACATCGACCAGCTGCTTCTTGCACACCCCCTACTGGGGATGTGCCCGCAACCAATGTACATGCCCTTGACCAGAATTGAACCTGGGACCTTTCAGTCCGCAGACCGACACTCTATCACTGAGCCAAACCGGTTTTGGCTGGGCGAGTCTATTTTGAAGAAGTGGTGTTAAAAAAAGTTTAAGTTTAAAAAATTTGGCTCTCAAAAGAAATTTTAATCGTTGTACTGTTGATATTTGGCTCTGTTGACTAATGAATTTGCCGACCTCTGGGCTAGGGCATTCTCAAGTAAAACAGGCTTTTTTCTCTCCTGTGGGTATATAACAGTGGTAACCAAGAATACAACGCTTACCAGTACATTTTGGTGCCATTAATTTGAATGATGCCAAGGAGCCAGCAGCTTCCCTCATCACTGCTTTGCATGATTAGTACAGTGCTAACACAGTGAAAAAATGCAAAATTTAATTTGCATTTCAATATTATTATAAAAATTGTTTTGGCATCGGGGATACCTTAAAGGAGTTCTATTGGAAGACTTTAATTTGAGGATTGTTGCTCTGGGGAATGGAGCAGTAGTAAGGATGTCTATCTGCCAGCTTAGGCCTGCTCCCTGTGGGCTGAGGGAATCCTCCCAACCCCCCCACCAAGTGCATGAATTTTGTGCACTGAGCCTGGTCTCTAGTGTGTGCGGAAGGAAAATTTGTTCTGATTCCAAGAATTGATTTGTCCCCATCTGACACTTGCCTCCCATTTAAATTAATTCGAAGACAGTTTCCCACGAAGCCAGCATTTGCCCCAACCTGTATGTATTTTAAAATGTGTTGAACATGATTATATTCTCTGTATTACATAATCTGCCTTGAACACAATACATTGTTGACATCTTTTATGTCATTGAATATAGTTATCATCTCTTCTAGTGCTCTGGAGATCTGGCTTCTACAGTATCTGCTGGATTCCTAATACCCTATTTTCCCGTTAGCTCTTGTTAATTCATTCTTCTCCTGGCATCCTGAATGATCTTTCTGAAGGGCAGATTTCATTCTGGACTCTTCCTTGCCTGAATCTTTTTATATAGTAGTAGTTTTTCATTTCCCTTGGGGTATAAAATACAAAGACTTCTATGATATGGCCCTTGCTAAGTCAAGTTTCACTTTACTTGGTGTACCTGGTTAATAATGACGGGTTTTGTAATTTAAAAAAACATGAAAATTTCAAGAGAAACATCGAAAGTCCTTTATTCAAAGTAATGTTCATCGCTAGCTACACATTTCCCTTTTTTGAAATGCTGCTCAAAAAGTGCATGTGCCATTGATTGAAACAAGTGGTAATCTGAAGGAGAAAGGACTTGTGAATACAGTGGGTGGGTTAATACTTCCTAGGCAAGATCTTTTAACGTGTCTTTAACTGGTTTTGAAGTGTGTGATGGTGCGTTATCATGAAGCAAAATTACTTTGCCATGTCTCCTGGCCCATTCTGGTTGTTTTACCATCAAAGCATGGTACAAATTGATTATTTTTTTGTCGGTAGCTATCAGTATTAATGGTTTCATCTGGTTTTAGAAGTTCATAATACACTATACCTTCCTGATCCCACCAAATGCATAGCATTGTCTTCTTTTCAAAGCAATTTGGCCTTGCAGTCTATGTTGATGGTTTACCTGGATCTACCTATGATTCTGTGCATTAGGGATTCTCAAAATAAATTCACTTTTCATTGCCAGTCACAGTTCGATGCAAAAAAGACTTTCTTTCATGCTGGTGAAGCAATATTTTACTGATGACTTTTTGGTTTTCCATTTGTCTTTCGTTCAGTTGATGTGGCACCCATTTTTCTTCCTTTAAAATATTTCCCATTGCTTGTAAACAGTTGGAAATTGTTTGCTGAGCAACGTTTAATCTTTCTGCAAGTTGTTTTTGAGTTTGACACGCATCTTTACCCAATAATGCTTGTAATTGTTGGTCTTCAAGAGTTTGACACACATCTTCACCCAATAATGCTTACAATTGTTGGTCTTCAAACTTTTTCGGTTGACCTGGACATTCTTTGTCTTTCACATCTAAGTAATCACTTTTAAAGCATTAAACCAGTGTTCACAAGTATCTTGAGATGGAGCGTGTTCACCATAAGCTTCCTGAAATTATGATAACTTTTTCTTCAAAATAAAGTAATGAATTAAAACTTATCGCAATTTTTTTTGCACAAAATTCAACATTTTTAGTGTAAAAATATTTATACTGTTAACAACTTCAACAAATTTGACATGAAGTTTTGAAGCTTGCTGTCAATACAACAAAATAGTATACATATCAAATCACATATGTGTCAACATATGTGTAACAATCTATTGAAAACAATCTGCGTTATTAATTGGTACAACTGGTAGTAGTTTTTAGTCTTATTGATGAAATGAAAATCTCGCAAAAGAATCTAGCTCTTCCCCCCTTTCTGTTTTTTTTTTTTTTTTTTTTTTTTTTATATAGTGAATGTAAAAAAGCTGAAATCAGTGAATTTGAGTTTAGGAGAAAGGTTAGGGCCAGAGAGGTCTAGCTATATGCTTTTTCTCTTCTTTCAATTTTTGGTTGTTGTACTATATATTTACTTTAAAATCTATGTCTCCCATCTTTACACTGAAGTTCAAGGTCTTATATTATGGTCTTTTAGATACCTTTACTAGGAGTTTTAATGATGCACAGTAGGTATAATTGTTTTAAAGAGGGGTAGGCATACCAGAGTAGTGGTTTAGAAAGGTTGATATTTTTGGATGTGAATATTTAGAGGCTGAGTCAAGAAAGCGAATTAGAAGTTTTATTCTAATAACCTAGACATGAGTTAAGGTTTCATTATAATGAAAAAAATGCAAGAAGAATTTTGAAAGAGAAATTGACCAAAATTGAAACAAAATCATTGGGTATGAGAGAAGCAAAAGGAGTTTCAGATAACTCTGGGCTTTTGAAGCCTGGCTTACTGGTGAATTCTAAAAGCAGTGGTACCTTGATCAGTTGTTGATGAGATAGGTATCCAGGAGGAACAAGCATCTGGAAATGCTACACAGGTCATGGCAGAAAAGAAACCTGTAATTTACAATAGGGGTGAGGCATCTCCCCAGGAAGCTGGGCAATTTAGAAATTTGTGGGAGAATTTTTCATTGCTCCTGTTGTAACTATACCCCCACTCCCTGCATGGTATTCCCTGTGATTTAGTAGGCAGAGTTCTACCCAAAGTGTTAGTGGAGAAATAACAAAAAGTTCAAGACAATATCTAAACAGAATGTATAGTTAAGTAAAACATGGGTACATTGATGGAAGTTAGAAAAGAAGGGAAACTTTTGGGGAATGCTGACTAAATAGAAAGGAAACGAAGATAGAAAAAAATAATAATATTGTTCTGATCTTGGCAGATAAAGGATGAAATGGTTTTAAGCAAAGGCAGTCTAAAGAGGCAGAAGAGGATGATCGGAGCAAAGCATCTGGAGTCTGGTTCAAATACTGCTGTCAAAATTCAGAGCTGTTTTCTAATGGTCACAAGTCTCCCAGGGGTTTGAGTTAACATTTAGTATGGTGGTGTTGAAATGGTGGTGAAGCCTACATTCATTTTAATACCTCACTGCATCTTTAGAAAGGACAGTTGAGGAAAAAGCCCAGTTTCCATTCTGACTAATTTATAATTCAGAGGCATCATGTAAGACAATCCCTCCAGTACATATAAGTACATTACAACTGGGCTCATTTAAATTGATTTAGAAGGAGAAATCTGAGGTGTAGAATTTGGGATTAGTGATTATAGTACTTCAAGAATTTAATGAGACTTCTTCAAGAGTCATAACTCTTATATTTTTGCTTTAGTTCAGAAAGGAGAATGAGCAGAACTCCATTCTAAGTAATGTTGGTCTCTTTAGTTGATAATTAAATTGTTTGGATTATTATTTTTAGGTTCTTAAGAGTTCTAGGGAAATCTTTACATCTTATGAAAACCATGTTGTAAATGGTAGGGTCCCAGATCAAGGTATTAAAAAAAGTTCTGAGCTTTTAATATTGGTACAGTATGGTAGTTTGGCATTACCTAAAGGTTCTTAGGTGGAATGATAAAGAGGACTAAAACAGGATTTCCTTTTTTTCTCTTTTGTGGTGAGAACCTTTAAGATCTACTTGCTCAGCAATTTACCGTATTATTAGCTATAGTGACCATGCTGTATATTAGATCCTCAGAGCTTGTTAATCTTATAACTGAAAGTTTATATCCATTGACCAATATCTCTCCATTTCCTTCACTCCTCCAGCCACTAATAACCACTACTCTCCTCACTGATTTTGGCAATTTAGATTCCACATATAAATAATATCATATGGTATTTGTCTTTGCCTATCTGACTTATTTCATTTTAAGCTCTGATATCTTAAAATTGCTTTTGAAAGACTACTTATGAAATTCATTAGCTTACTGTTTTAACTTATGGTCCAAGATAATTTTTTAAAGAGTCACTAGAGTGTAAAGTGCTAAGCAGAAATTGGGGAAAGTTGTGGTGGAAGCTGTGAGATAGGTAAGGGGGGCGGTCATTATTTTAAGAATCTTTGCTGTATCTCATAGTGATGGGAGAGCCCTTAACAAGGGAGTAATATAAATCAAAATGGAAATCTATTATCCTTCACTCACTCCCCATTGTTCTAAGGTGAAATAGAAAATCCTTAATTTGGTTTCCAATGCTCTACCTGGTCTGTTCCCATCTATCATTTTATATCATGCCTTCTTTCTTTAGATATACATAAAAAGATGGTGAATTGGAATGTAAGGGTGATTATATTAATCTCACTTTACCTGCTATATTTTATAAACAGGGATTTAAAAATTCATTCTGGTGACCATGTTTGAGAGGAGCATAAGCAATACTTTCTGGGCTGGAATTCTGCATTTAATCTTGACTCATTGTATGGAGATATAATATTTTTCTCTTTAACAGGTTTCTCCACATATAAAAGTCTTGTAAACATACTGAAAAGAATGGCAGCGGAAACACAGACACTGAACTTTGGGCCTGAATGGTGAGTTTTCAAAATCTCATCTTCTTTATATTGGATGACTAGTATAGTAGGAAAGTATTTTTACAGGTGCTAGATGGTTTATAAATGTATATTTTTGAGACTGCTTTATATGCCCAATTTAAAACAATGTATTTAGCCTAGGAATAAATTCTATTTGGTCAATGACTATATAATATACTTCATATTAAAATATTTCTTGGTCTGGTTATGTTAACAATAGTGGAATTAAAATATCTCACAGTCCCAAGAGCCTATCAGATTATTTATGTATATTTTTTGCTATACTGTTGTTTGTGAGTGTTGTTCATAGACTCATTTAAAAGTAGTTTTTGTTGAATTGTTATTTGAATTTTATATTATTGATAGGATAGGCAGGTGGTTCAGAATTATATTGGTTGTTAACAGAAGCCCATCTAGGATTGGGTTAGCATTTGCCATAATTATAACTGACATTTGAGTCTCTTACAGATGTGTTTGGACCCCGAATATGGAATTCTCATGGAATTTTGAGATCCATCACATTGTAGTGTGAACTTTTACCCCTTTCTTCCTTTCTCCCCAAAGTTGGTGATTGAAGATCCTCTTCTCAGTGCGTGAATAATGTAGTTGCTTTCAAACCTTGAACCAGAGGCATTTGGAATACATTGGAATAGTGTCTTAAACATTGTTGGTGGTTCGGGTGGTGGTGGTTTGATAAATGATGCAGACTCCTTTTTTTTTTTTTTTTTAAATATATTTTATTGATTTTTTACAGAGGGGAAGGGAGAGGGATAGAAAGCTAGAAACATCGATGAGAAACATCGACCAGCTGCCTCTTGCACCCCCCCCACCTGGGATGTGCTTGCAACCAATGAACATGCCCTTGACCGGAATCGAACCTTGGGACCTTTCAGTCCGCAGACCGACGCTCTACCATTGAGCCAAACCGGTTTCGGCTGATGCAGTCTCTTGTAGTAACTCCCTTTCTGAGGATTCTTATTAACTTCCCTTTGTATATGCATTTCTTTATATATAATTTCTAAATTTTCTTGGCTCTTATAGCTTAGCATTTGGAGACTAAGGAGAAAGTCTCAAAATTTGAAGTTCTAAGAACTGATACAACTTCTGTACTTTGAGAATATTATATTTGTTGATACAAATAGTGCTGCACCTGTTTTAGTTCTTGTTTATATTTAAAAATAATTTTCTTATTATTAATTTGAGTTTCTCTTACTCTCTGAAATTGGAGTCTTCCTTTGAAACCTTTCATAAGTTGAAATGATATAAAGTGAAGAAGCAGTTACTTTAGGGACACATCTTGCTAGCAGATAAAACACAGATGTTCATAGACACAGTTTAAAGCCATGGTGGCTAATGCTGAGATGCTGAGTACAGTTCCTGGGGAGGTAGCTTGGGACCACTCTTGCTGCTCAATATTAACTGCTTAATAATAATAATTGCTTATTGCAAGACACATGCTGAATGCTATTTCACTTTTTGCCATTTTTTGTAAAAGTGAAAATCCTCTTTGGATTTCTTTTGGTTAGTGAAAACAGATACTGATAGAGATCTTTTGCAAAAGTGAAGTAGTGTAAAGTGAACTTTGAAAAGCGGAGGATATCTGTATGATTTTAGAAAAATGAGAAATTATAATAAGCTAGAAGAAGATATAATCACCATAATTTCACCAGCCGTGATAACCACTGTTAATAGATTGATATATCTTTTCAGCTGGTTTGATGTATGCTTATTTGTGTATATATATGTTTATTTTCGCAAAAGGTGGGATCATACTGTACATTCAATTTTGTAACCTGCTTTAAAAAAATAACTATGCCAAAAATACCTTTTTATCAATAAATATTTTCTGTTACCTTAATTGGTTGCATTGTATGGATGTATCATTTATTAATCTTTTAGATGTAGCATATAGGGGCTGTTCTCAGTTTTTCATTATTATAAAAATATTGCTGATGAACATTCTTATAGTTAACTCTTTATTCACATTTTAGAAACTTTCTTTATCAGGTTGATTTTAATTTTATTGTTGTTGCGCTCTTTGTGCCCTCTTCTACCTTTATCTAGAGTTTATAAATGCTCTTTTATTTTTTTAAAGATAATATATATTTTTAAAGGTTACATGCAATAAACATCTCAAAAAATGATTTTAAATATGATCTTACATGCAATAAACATCAATTATTCAAGAAAAATGATCTTACATATAGTAATATTACATGCAATAAACATGAATATTTTAGAATTAAAAGGATTTTAAGTATAATAATACCAAAACTGTACTAAAATAGTATGATATCACAGAAGTTGTAGGAAATATTAAAATTTTGCAAATAACAGGATTACTTCTATTCTAGTATTAATATATATTGTTTCTCTCTGTCTCTATAATTGTTCATCAGTTTATGTTGTTCATTATATTCCATAAATGGGTGAGATCATATGATATTTATCTTTCTCTGTTATTTCGATTAGCATGATGCTTTTAAAATCTATTTTGTCAGATGTGAATATTGCTACTCCAGCTTTTTTTTTTTTTTTTTCCATTTGCGTGGAAAAATTTTTTCCATCCCTTCATTTTCATCCTGACAACATATAGTTGGGTCTGTCTGAAACAGAGTTTAGAGCAATGATGTTAAAAATAATGCTCAACAGTATGGAAAAAGATATAGTAACTATGAATTCAGCTACCCTACACCTTTTGATTGGATCATTTAATCTGTTTACATTTAGGGTTATTATTAAGAGGTACTTATTTATAGCCATTTAAATTCTGTATGGCTAGGTTTCTCTCAGCAAATCCCTTTAGTATTTGTTGTAATGCTGGCATGGTGGTGATGAACTCCTTTAGCATTTTTTTATTTGACCACCTATTTTGAATGATAACCTTGCTGAGTATAGTAATCTTGGTCTCAGACCCTTGCTTTCCGTTACCTTAAGTACTTCATGCCATTCCCTTTTGGCCTGTGTAGTTTCTGATGAGAAATCAGGTGTCAGCCTTATGGGAACTCATTTATAGGTAACATTTTCTTTTTTCTTGCTGCCTTTAAGATTCTCTGATTGTCTTTAATTTTTGCCATTTTAATTATTGTATGTCTTGCTGTTTGGGTTCTTCTTGTTTGGGGTTCTCTGTGCCTCATGAACTTGTGTGACTTTCCTTTATCAGGATAGGGAAGTTTTCTACCATTATTTCTTCAAACACCTTCTCTATTCTTTTTTCCTTTTCTGCCTCTTCTGACATACCTACTATTCTAACATTGTCATGTTTCACATTTTCTCACAGCTCCCTTAAGCTGTCCTGTTTTTTAATTGTCTTTTTCTTTTTGATTCTGTAATTGAGTGATATTTTCAGCTCTGTCTTCTAATTAATTCACTGATTTGATCCTCAGCTTCCCATAATATGCTGTGTATTCCTTCCATTGTGTTTTTTATTTGTGTTATGTCATTCTTTATCTCAAACTGTTCTTTTTTCATAGTTATTATCTTCTTTCATACTGTTGAGCATTTTTAACATCATTGCTCTGAACTCTATTTCAGATAAATTTCTTTTTTTCTCCTCCCCTCCTCCCCCCCAGATAAATTTCTTATTTCTGCTTCATTTATCTCTTCAGGAGAATTCTCTAATTCTTTCATTTGGGGGTTGTTTCTTTGTTTCCTCATTTTGGTCGTCTGGGTTTCTGGCAATGTTTTATGTAGGTCCTCTATACCAGTGGTTCATGAGGTCTAAAAGGTTGGTGATTACTACTCTATTCTTCTCAATCTCTAGTGCAAGACAGTGTTAAAGGCTGTTTCTGACTTATTGGATCAGGCTAAGACTTAAAGACTCCAGAAACCTCCTGTGTCTACAGACTAATAGAATCTCAATTTGAATTGCCCCCAAGCAATCATCAAGTATAGCAAAAATTTTTTCAACATGATGGGATAGTTGCTTATGCCTGGAGGCTAATTGTTACTTTAATCTCTTAAGTGGTCTCAGGGCAAGATGTTTTCAAATAGGGTGTGTGGACTGTCTTCTCCCCAGGCAAGGTAGATGTCTACGTGGGAAAGATGTCCTTTGCTGTGCGAGGGAATAACCCAGCCCAGGAAACTTGGGGTGTCTGCCTTCTGAGCTTTATCTTCCAAATCCCCAGTCCTGGGTTCTGTTCTCACAGCTCCAGTCCACTTCACCCTCCCTCTGCCAGAGCACAAGGTGGGTGGCTCCACAGGGAATTTCTGTGCGTTGGCCCTTTAAAAGGGTGCTTGAACTTTCAGCTGTCACTCCTTGGCAGACAACACCCCACTGTTTTTCACATCTAGATATTATGTGGGTACACTCCTCAGATTTGGTTCTCTCTATTGGGGAGCCCAGCTTGGGGATTAGATCCCAGAGTTCTCAGAGACACCCCCCTACAGCTGAGATACCTCTTCTGGACTTCATTTGTTGTCTCTCGGTGCCCAGCCAGCCCTTTCGTGCCTCCACCCCTCCTAACAGTTTATATGCATTCTCCACCTTTGGTCCTTGGGTACCAGGGTTCTCTCCTGTGAGTTTTCCATTGATTATTCAGGAAACTTTTCCATATTTCAGTTGTAATTCCAGCTTGTTCCTGGGATCATGCTCGTGCAGCGTACTCCTACTCTGCTGCCATTTTTAATCTCTTTGCTAATGCTCTTTTGTATTTACATTCTCATAAAACATGATTAAAGTCATCAATAAATTTGAGAAAACATCCCCCCCCCCCCCGGGGTCCTTTTATTAAGGGATAACAATGAGAGAGAACACCAGGAATTTAGCTAAAACAAAAGAAATAAACCTAGTGATATTCTGGAGTCATTATACATTTTGATGCCCTATACCACAGGTTGGCCTGTGAGACTGTAAATAAAGTTTTTGTAAGTAAAGTTTTATTGGAACACAACCACATCTATTTGTGTCTATGTTACTTGCCTGTTTTCACACTGCAGTGTCAGGCTTGAGTAGTTAAAACAGAAATATTTACTCTCTAGCTCTTTACAGAAAAATGTTTGCTGGCTCTTCGCATAAATCATGGATGAATTCCTAAAGTCATTTCAGTGTGTCATTGATCCAGTCTATGGATAATTTTTCACGTCCTTTTCATTATTACACTCAAGTTTTGTTTGATGAGCGCAGTGTTTTTATATAAAATTTGAATTGAGGTAACTTAGCAGAGGACAGGAATTGTCCCATGCTTAAGCAGTAGCTTTACCTAATTGCTACTTCTGTTATACTGCAGGCGTTAGAGTTTAGGAGCCTTCCCTTAGTCATCTGTAATGCTGATAAACTGAGGAGTGGAGGTTTTAATAGGCAGCTGCCTTCTTTGTACCATCTATCAAAATTTTTTCTGGCACCCTACCAGGTTTGGCTCAGTGGATAGAGCATCAGTTTGCGGACTAACGGGTCCCAGGTTCGATTGGGGCCAAGGGCACATGCCTGGGTTATGGGCTCTATCCCCAGTAGGGTTGTGCAGGAGGCAGCCAATCAATCACTCTCATGATGTTTCTATCTTTCTCTTTCTCTTCCTTCCTCTCTGCAATCAATAAAAACATATTTTTTTTTTCTTCTGGCAAAGGGAATATATAAGAATATATAAGACCATTAAGTAACTCAAGTAACCCTGAGCTAGAAAGTTGCTATGTTTTTCTGCATGTTACATTACATTTATTGTGAAGCTTGAGGTAAGAAGCTGTGTCCAGAATACTTGAGAATCAAAGTTTTCACACTGAATCAGTGTATAACTCTGGATCATACAGAAATATTTAGTGATACTATAATCTATTTACTAAGATCATAATTTTTATAATGATGTAAAACTGTGTTCAATAAGAGGTGGGTAAAATGAAGAAATAAAAACATCTCAAAATGAAAATATTCTTATTTCCCATACAATTTCTCAGAGGCAACAGATATCACCTCAGAGTACAATTTTTTTCCCCTTCTTAGTGGTGAATATGGCTTTTATATTTTTCTCCTTGTACTAGTCACTGCATTTTCAAATTCTCTACATTAATTGCTTTTATAAAAATGACATGAGTCCTGGCCGATTTTGCTCAATGGTTAGAGCATTGGCCTGGTCAAGGGCATGTACCTGGCCACCATCAGGTGCTAGAGGGAAGCAACCAATAGATGTCTCTCTCACATTAGTGTTTCTTTCTATTCTTTTCCTCCTTCCAACTCTCCCTCCCTCTAACCCCCACTCTGTTCCACTCTAAAATTGGATGGAAAATATTTCTAGCTGGTTTGGCTCAGCCTGCGACGAAAGGGTCCTGGGTTTGATTCTGGTCAAGGGCACATGCCTGAGATGTGGGCTTGATCCCTAGTAGGGGGTGTGCAGGAGATAACTGATCAATGATTCTCTCTCATCATTGATGTTTCTTTCTCCTTCCTCTCTGAAATCAATAGAAATGGATTTTAAAAAATTAAAAATGGAAGGAAAATAAATAAAATGAATTATGAAGTATTGCAGGTATATACAAGTGTAAATTGTAACAAACCCCCATGTACTCGGCGCCAAATTGAAAAAATAAAACACTACAGGTATAATTAAAGCAATAATTAATTATTTTCCTCACCTCAGGATATGTTTGTTGCTTTTAGAAAGAGGGAAGGAAGAGAGAAGAGAGAGAGAAACATTGATGTGAGAGAGAAACATTGGTTGTCTCCAGTACATGCCCTGACTGGGTATCAAACCCACAGCCTGGGTATGTGCCCTGACTGGGACTCAAACCCTTGACCTTTTGGTGTACAGGACGATGTTCCAACTAACTGACTGACCTACCCGGCCACGGCTAGAGTACCCTTTATACCCTACATTCTTTTTTTTTCTTTTTTTCTTTTTTTTAATATATTTTATTGATTTTTCACAAGGGAGGAAGGGAGAGAGATAGCTAGAAATGTCGATGAGAGAGAAACATCAACCAGCTGCCTCTTGCACACCCCCTACCGGGGATGTGCCCGCAACAAAGGTACAGTACATGCCCCTGACCGGAATCGAACCTGGGACCCCTCAGTCCGTAGACCGATGCTCTACCACTGAGCCAAACCAGTTTCGGCTACATTCTTTTGCAGTTGAACCTTATCTCGGATTTTATATTTGTCAACTAATTTTGTGTCTATGCTTTTGCTATGTTTTGTATATGTTCTTAAATAGCAAGTTTATATGAATTATATAACTATCTTTATAAGCTTTGTATTTTTCTTTTGTGTAGCATACTTTATTACGTATTTTATTAAATATTAGCACATCATTCTTTGAAATGGTTGTTTTAATTTATAATCCTACAAATACTGCATGGGAGTTGTTTTACATTCTTACCAACAACTGGTATTATCAGATTTATTCATTTATTGAATAAATCTGATATTGGTAATTTATTCATATTACCAACAACTGGTATTATCAGATTTATCTATCTTATGGTTGAAACCTAATGAGATACCACTTTTGTTTTAATCATGTGTTTCTTTTATAATTTGGAGAAAAGCTTTTCAAGGATGTGCTATGATACCATGATACCTTTTAGATTAAGTAATTGCCCATGTGGTTGTCTAATTATTTCTCAATGAACTACTCTCTCAGACAGCAGGTTTTATTGAAGCTAAAATCTTGAATACCTTGAGATAATGGGATTTCTTTCTGTTCTTTTAAAGAACTAAAATGAAAATTTTAATAATATCTACTAGGGGTCCAGTGCACAAATTCATGCATCTTGAAAGGAACTGTGGGCCTCGAGGTTGCAGTGGGCATAGGGGTGGGTCTCGGCCCATCCTCCGCGCCCCTGCCTGGCCCCTTCTGTCACGGCCCTGGTTTCCTATCTGCTGGCAGCCCCACTCCCACTGCTGCTCCCATGTGCTGATGGTGCTGGGCCCCTGCTTGCACTCACTGATAGTATGGAGCTATTGGGGTCAGCGCTGGCAGTGGGTGTGAGTGGCGATGGCTGCTGACCCCAAACACCCCTCAGGAGCTGGGGGAGGTGGAGAAGTCCTGAGGGGCGTTTGGGGCCAGCAGCTGCTGCTCGCATCCACTGAAAGCACTGAGTAGTCAGGGCTGGTGCCGGACACTGTCAGTGGGTGCAAGCAGCGGCTCTGGCATCAGCAGTGGGTGCGAGCACCAGGCAGGACCACGGCGTATGGGAGCAAAGACTTCAGTAACCATCAGAGGCTTGCCTCGATGATAGCAACTGGCGCCCCCCCCCACCCCCGGTCTGGCGCACACCCTACCTTCACCTGCTCTACCATCCTGCTGTGACCAAAGCCTGCCATGTTCTAACAAACGTCCACCATGTTCCATGCATATCATAGTGAATGCTTATTTGGGTTTTCTACTGTTCAATCTATTTGTATATTAGGGCTTTATGTATAAAGATATCTCTCTATATAAAAGCCTAAGCGACCATTACCACTCATCAACCGGTCGCTATGATACTCACTGACTATCAGGGGTCAGATGCTCAGTGCAGGAGCTGCCCCTGGTGGTCGGTGCACTCCTACAGAGGGAGCTCTGCTTAGCTGATCTAGGCACCAGGCTCACGACTGGCTAGTGCAGCTGCAGCGGAGCAAGCTTCTCCTACCACTGGCAGTGATACCAAGTGTGGCAGTGGCAGGCACAATGAGCGGGAGCTGCACAGTGCCTGGCCTGGCCTTGAGCGGGAGCTGCGCAGTGCCTGGCCTGGCCTTGCCTGGGTTTGGGCTCATCCCTGGCCGCCTGCTGCTTTGTGCACTACTACATCCCTTGGATAATGTCGCACTGCTGGAGATGGGGCTGAAATTGGCAGTCTGACATCCCCCCAAGGGGTTCTGGATTGCAAGAGGGCCCAGGCCAGGCTAAGGAACCCCACCAGTACATGAATCTGTGCACCGGGCTTCTAGTTGTATATAAAAGTAAAAAGTTTATATTGGCAGAATATTTGACATTTCATTATTGTATTCTGTGTGTTTCCTTTTCTAGGCTCCGAGCTCTGTCCAGTGGTGGGAGCATTACATCCCCTCCTCTTTCTCCAGCTTTGCCAAAATATAAATTAGCAGATTATCGTTATGGCAGAGAAGAAATGTTAGCACTTTTCCTTAAAGACAACAAGGTAAGAGAGGAAAGAATTAAGAATTATTCTGAATGAGTTGTTGAGAGTATTTACAGTGATGTATTGATATATGAAAGACACCTGGTTTTTCTCTCTACCTCCTTTTTTCTGCTTTTGAAACTAAAACAATTAACAAGTTGATGTGTTTTAATCCTCATCTAGGATATTTTTTCCATTGATTTTCAGAGAAAGTGGAAAAAGGGGATGGGGTGGAGAGAGGAGAGAGAGAGAGAGAGAGAGAGAGAGAGAGAGAGAGAGAGAGAGAGAGAGAGAGAAAGAGATATCAATTGGTTGTCTCCTGCACATGCCCCCCGACTAGGGCCTGGGATTGAACATGTAACCCAGGTACGTGCCTTTGATCAGAATCAAACCCATGACCCTTCAGTGCTCAAGCTGACCCTCTAACACTGGCCAGGGCAACATAGGCTCTTCTAAGTGTAATGTTATCTATTTTTTTTAAAAAGAAGGCCTAAGATTTCAGTATATGACTGACAGCTTCATGCAAACAGGAAGAACAGTCAACACTTAATGTTTTGTCTAACTAGTTTCCTTTTAAATCTTTATTCAGATTATTACAATTGTTTCTCCTTCTCTCCCCCGCCCCCAATTCCCATCCATCCGGTTTCCACCTCACTCTCTACCCTTACCTTCCCTCCTCCCCCTACTGTTCTCATCCATAGGTGTATGATTTTTGTCCAGTCTCTTCCTGTACCCCCCACACAGACATCCCTTTCTCCCTGAGAATTATCAATCTACTTCCATTCTATGCCCCTGATTCTATTATATTCACCAGTTTATTCTGTTCCTCAGATTTTTAATTCACTTGATTTTTAGATTAACTTGTTGATAAATATGTATTTGTTCATAATTTTTACCTTTATACTTCTTCCTTCTTTTTCCTCTTTTTAAAGAATACCTTTCAACATTTCATATATAATACTGGTTTGGTAGTAATGAACTCCTTTAGCTTTTTCTTATCTGTGAAGTTCTTTCTCTGCCCTTCAATTCTGAATGATAACTTTGCTGGGTAGAGTAACCTTGGTTGTAGATTCTTGCTATTCATTACCTTGAATATTTCTTGTCACTCCCATCTGGCCTGCATAGTTTCTGTTGAGAAATCAGCTGATAATCATATGGCTGCTCCCTTGTAGGTAACTGTTTTTCTCTTGCTGCTTGTAAGATTCTCTCTTTGTCTTTTGCCCTTGGCATTTTAATTATGATGTGTCTTGGTATGGTCATCTTTGGATTTCTTTTGTTTGGGGTTCTGTGCGCTTCCTGGACTTGTCTTATTTCTTTCACCAGGTGGGGGAAGTTTTCGGTCATTATTTCTTTAAATAGGTTTTCAGTGTCTTGTTCTCTCTCTTCTTCTGGCACCTCCATAATTCTGATGTTCGTAAGCTTGATATTGTCCCAGAGGCTTCTTACACTATCTTCAACTCTCTGGATTCTCTTCTCTTCTTGCTTCTCTGGAGGAGTGTCCTTTGCCTCTTCGTATTCCAAATCTTTGACTTGATTCTTGCGTTCCTCTAGTCTGCTTTTGGGTCTCAGTTTAACATTTTTTATTTCAGTCAATGTATGTTTAATTTCTTTTTTTTTTTTTTTTTTTTTTTTTTTTTTTTTAGAAGCTAAATCCAGCGTTATGTTTATTATGCCACTAACAACTATGACATTAAGATTTTTTTTTTTTTTTTTTCATTTTTTTTTTTTATTTTACATATTTTATTGATTTTTTTTTTTGCCCCCCTCCTTCCCTCCCATGTATCCCCTCCCTCCCCAGAGTTTTATGTCCATTGGTTGTACTTATATGCAGGTATACAAGTCCTTGGGTTGATTTATTGTCTCCCCCAGACCCTCCTCCCCTCCCCGTTGTAATTTGACAATCTGCTTGTTGCTTTACTGTCTCTATATCTATCTTTTGGTTCATCAGTTTATAATGATCTTTATTATCCACAAATGAGTGGGGTCATGTGGTGTTTCTCTTTCATTGATTGGCTTATTTCACTCAGCATGATGTTCTCCAATTCCATCCAGGTTGCTGCAAATGATGAGAATTCCTTCTTTTTTATGGCAGCATAGTATTCCATTGTGTAGATGTACCAAAGTTTTTGGATCCAATCATCAGCTGACGGGCACCTCGGCTGTTTCCAGATTCTGGCTATTGTAGATTGTGCTGCTATGAACATAGGGGTGCATATATCCTTTCTGATTGGTGTTTCTAGTTTCTTGGGATATATTCCAAGAAGTGGGATTACTGGGTCAAATGGGAGTTCCATTCTCAGTTTTTTGAGGAAACTCCACACTGTTCTCCACAGTGGTTGTACCAGTCTGCATTCCCACCAGCAGTGCACGAGGGTTCCTTTTTCTCCGCAACCTCGCCAACACTTGTCGTTTGTTGATTTGTTGATGTTGGCCATTCTGACAGGTGTGAGATGGTACCGCATTGTTGTTTTGATTTGCATCTCTCGGATAATTAGTGACTTTGAGCATGTTTTCATGTGCCTTTTGGCCTTCTTTCTGTCTTCTTTTGTAAATATTCTATTTAGGTCCATTGCCCATTTTTTAATTGGATCATTCATCTTCCTTTTATTTAGTTGTATCAGCTGTCTGTAGATGTTGGAGATTAAACCTTTATCTGTGGTATTATTTGCAAATATATTCTCCCATACCGTGGGCTTTCTTGTTGTTTTGTTGATGGTTTCTTTTGCTGTAAAAAAACTTTTTATTTTGATGTAGTCCCATTTGTTTATTTTCTCTTTAGCTTCCATTGCCCTAGAGGCAGTATCAGTGAAGAAGTTCTTTTGGCATACGTCTGAGATTTTGCTGCCTGCGGATGCTTCTAGTATTTTTATGGTTTCCCGTCTGATGTTTAAGTCCTGTATCCATTTTGAGTTTATTTTTGTGTATGGTGTAAGTTGGTGATCTAGTTTCATTCTTTTGCATGTGTCTACCCAATTTTCCCAACACCATTTATTGAAGAAACTGTCTTGACTCCATTGTATATTCGTGCCTCCTTTGTCAAATATTAATTGAGCATAGTGATTTGGGTTGATATCTGGGTTCTCGATTCTATTCCATTGATCTATATGTCTGTTCTTGTGCCAGTACCAGGCTGTTTTGAGAACAGTGGCTTTGTAATACAGTTTGAAGTCTGGTATTGAGATCCCTCCTACTTTACCCTTCTTTCTCAGGATTGCTGTGGCTATTCGGGGTCTTTTATTGTTCCAAATGAACTTTTGGAGAGTTCTTTCTAGGTCGGTGAAATATGCCGTTGGTATCTTAATGGGGAGTGCATTGAACCTATAGATTGCTTTAGGAAGTATGGACATTTTGATGATGTTGATTCTACCGATCCATGAACATGGTATATTCTTCCATCTCTTTACATCTTCCTCTATCTCTTTTTTCAGTGTCATGTAGTTTTCTGCATATAGGTCCTTTACTTCCTTAGTTAAATTTATTCCTAGGTACCTTAATTTTTTTGGTGCGATGGTAAATGGAATTGCTTTTTTAATCTCTATTTCTATAGTTTCGCTGTTGGTGTATAGAAATGCCGTGGATTTCTTGGCATTAATTTTGTATCCTGCTACATTGCCATATTCATTTATTAAGTCAATTAGTTTTTTAATGGAGTCTTTTGGGTTTTTTATGTACAGTATCATGTCATCTGCAAATAAGGATAACTTTACTTCTTCTTTTCCAATTTGGATGCCTTTTATTTCCTCCTCTTGTCTAATTGCAATGGCTAGTACTTCCAGTACTATGTCAAACAGGAGTGGCGAGAGTGGGCATCCCTGTCTTGTTCCTGTTCTTAGAGGGAATGGTTTTAGTTTTTGCCCATTGAGTATAATGTTGGCTGTGGGTTTATCATATATAGCTTTTATTATGTTGAGGTATGATCCTTGTACTCCCACCTTGTTAAGAGTTTTTATCAGGAAAGGGTGTTGGATTTTATCAAATGCTTTTTCTGCATCAATTGATATGACTATATGATTTTTATCTTTCAGTTTGTTTATGTGATGTATCACGTTTATTGATTTGCGGATATTGTACCATCCTTGCATTCCTGGAATAAATCCTACTTGGTCATGGTGTATGATCTTTGTGATGTTCATCTGGAGTCTATTTGCTAGAATTTTGTTGAGGATTTTGGCATCTATGTTCATGAGGGATATTGGCCTGTAATTCTCTTTCATTGAGTTGTCTTTATCTGGTTTTGGTATTAGGGTGATGCTGGCTTCATAGAAGGAGTTTGGAAGTGTTCCTTCCTCTTGGATTTTTTGGAATAGTCTGAGGAGGAAAGGTTTTAGTTCTTCCTTGAATGTTTGGTAAAACTCTCCTGTGAAGCCATCAGGCCCTGGGCTTTTGTTTGCTGGAAGCTTTTTGATGACTGTTTCAATTTCTTCCCACGTCACTGGTCTATTAAGATTTTTAGATTCTTCCTGATTGAGTTTTGGAAGGTTGTATTTTTCTAGGAATATGTCCATTTCGTCCAGGTTGTTCAGTTTGTTGGAATAGAGTTGTTCATAGTATTTTGTAACAATCTGTTGTATTTCGGTGGGGTCTGTTGTTATTTCACCTCTTTCATTTCTGATTTTGTTTATTTGGGTCCTCTCTCTTTGTTTCTTGGTTAGCCTGGCTAGAGGTTCATCTATCTTGTTTATTCTTTCAAAAAACCAGCTCTTGGTTTTGTTGATCTTATGTATTGTTTTTTTGGTCTCTATGTCGTTTATCTGTGCTCTGATTTTTGTTATTTCCTTCCTTCTGCTTACACTGGGCTTTTCTTGTTGCTCCTTTTCTAATTCTTTGAGTTGTAGAGTTAGATCATCTGTTACCCTTTTTTCTAGTTTTTTGCAATAGGCTTGTAAGGATATGAACTTCCCTCTCAAAACTGCTTTTGCTGTGTCCCATAGATTTTGGATTGTTGTGTTTTCATTGTCATTTGTTGCCAGGATGTTTTTAATTTCTTCCTTGATTTCTCTGGTAACCCAGTCCTTGTTTAA